CTTGCGCAGCAGGTGGCAAAACCACTGAGCTAAATCCCCAGCCCTGCAATTGTATTTTTAATGAGTAATAGATTAAGGGTTCAGGAGTTTGTTTGTCCTTTGTCCCTGTGGTGTTCTCTGACTGTATCAGTAGCTCACACAAAGCCTTTCAATAAATGTTAACCACTGCTTTCAAGGTAGCTCTTTCCTGATTGCTCCCTATCCTATATCCCCACTGGGTTAGCTGATTTCTATGTGGCTACAAGTGGTAGAAATACACATGAATTATGGTAGATAAAAGGAGCATTATACAAGGCTCATGTCAGTATACCATGGGAGGAGTTGGAGTGAACCAGACCTTACGGATGAGTGCCTAAGATCAGACTTTTTTGTCACCATCTCTCATCTCATTTCTTATTCATTGTCTTGCATTTCACTGTTTTGTACTTGTCTCCTCCATAATGAATAGAAACATGGGGGCCCACACTCAGTCTCAGAAAGGAAATGAAGTTCTACATAGGAAAAATCTCTGATTGGTCAGGTGCTCATCCTTAAGCCAATAGCAAGGCTATGGGGGAAGAGGTGGCAATTTCTGTTTTAATGACGTCCTGAGATCTATGGCCATATCACCCTGAATGCACCTGATCTTCTCTGACTTACATGCTGGAAAATGAGATGAGTTACACCAAAAGTGGGGTAGGGGAGAGAAAGAAACAGAGAGATGCTAAGTTGTCAGAATAATCAATGCTCAGTACAGTCTACCTTTGGTTCCCGGTATATACAACCATCCTTCTTCCCAAAGTAGAATTCCAAACCTGTCCCCAGCTAACACCATACAGCCTTCTCATGCCCAGCTGTGAACACACCAGTGTTCACCCCAGCAGGGAACTTGTAGCTACAGCACCCAGCCGACGGTAGACTTTCCAGTGAGATCCATCAGTTCTAGACAGGAATGCCTGAGATCCTGAGAACTATGAGCTAAATGATAAATTTAACCACTCTTAATGTGCCAGTGTAAATAATGAAGGATAGAAAAATACATAAGGAACTAATGACCAGTTTCTATAATTTTTTTTGATGTTTTGAGACAGGGTTTCACCATGTAGTTTACTATGAGTTCACTATGAACTCACTACGTAGTCCAGGCTGGCCTCAAACTCATGACAATCCTCTTGCCTCAGTCTCCCGAATGTTGGGATTACAGGCATATGCCACCATGCCCGGCTTCCAGTTTCTAAATTTGATAAATACAGGAAGAACAAAATATGACCTAGTCCCAGTGAAAACTCAGATTTAGAAAAGGGGCATGTGAGGAACAGACTGAGTGAATGGAAGAAATCCAGTGATGGGACAAGATAGCTGCCTGTTTCTCTCCAGCAGATGGGAGGTGAGCTGCAGTCAGGGCATATGGGCTGTACTGCTATGTTCTGCAAGGTTGTTCTGGAGATCAGAATCCCTGTCTATATGTCCCACAAGCCCTTGACTAGTGTCTTTATCTGCAACTTTTTTTTTTGGTACTGGGGATTGAACTCTGGACCTTGCGCTTGGAGGGCAGGCGGCGGAACCACTGAGCTAAATCCCCAGCACCCCCCACCTGCAACTTTAAACTGCCATATCTTCACATCCATGTCTCAGTCCCTGGGAAGGGGAAAGATTAAGTGGAAGCCAAGCAGTATTCTCCTAAAAATGTCACTAGAAGTTGCTTATCACACCTATCACTTTTGCTTACACTCCATTGGCTAAAACTTCAGAACTAGAAGAAGCTTCAAAGGAAGCTGGGAAAAGTAGTTTCAGCTGTCCATGTGCCAGGTGGAGTCTATTGAGAGAGTGGTTGGTGGGACAATTAGCAGTCTCTGCCCCTTTGGCCAGTATTTGAGTATGTCCTTCTTCCCACAGAGCACCCACTTACCATTTTCCTAAGAGTGTATATTAGTCAGCCTTCCTATCACTTAAAGGAGGAAAGGTTTCATTTGGCTCATGGTTTGAAGGTTTCAGACCATGGTCAGCTGGCTCCAAGGTAGAAATGGCATGGTGAAAGGGTACAGCAGAGCAAAGCTTCTCACCTTGAGGCATTCAGGAAGCAGATACAGACAGGAGAGGAGCCCAGATCCAGAATATTCCCTTCTAGCTCATGTCCCAAGTGACCTGCTTTTTCTAATCATGTCCCACCTCCAAGCATATGACTTTTGGGGTACATTTTATTTTATTTTATTTTATGTATGTGTGGTAACAGCTTTAATCTGTGGTGGCCAACACATTGGGCAGGACCCTGCTGGCCTTCCACCCTCCTGTGTCCAAGCAGGAGGAGTCATTTCTCAGGAGTTGAAGCAGGCACCACGTGCAGGTTGGTCATTGGTGTCTCTCAGTATCTCCTGGAAACTAAAGTTTAAAGAGGGATATTTTAGATGTAAACCGTAACATTCCACCCTTGGCCCACAGAAGGGTCATGTCCATCTCATTATGCAAAATGCATTTAGTCCATTTGCCAAAGTCTTAACAGTTCTATCATTGCTGAAAAGTTTAAATCCAAAGTCTCCTCTGAGACTCCAAGCTGTGAGGACCTGTGAAAATCAAAAAGAAAATTAAATACTTCCAATATACAATGGTATGGAATAAATATTCCCATTCCAAAATAGAGGAATAAGAGGATAGAAAAGAATCAGACCAAAGCAAGACCAAAACCCAGCAGGGAAAACATTAAATCTTGTAGTTCCATGTCCAGCACCTAAGGCAGGTTGCACTGAGATGTGAACTCCAAAAGGTTTGGGTAATCCCACCCCTATGGCATTTCAGGTTGCAGCCCATGGCCTATCTCTTGAGCTGGCTCTATCCACTCACTGTCTATAGCTTTCCCCAGCAGACATTCCACATCCCTTGCATCTCCACCTTCCTGGAATCTGCATTGCAACTTTGTCTTCACTCTCACAGCTTCAGGTATTACCCTCTCAGAGTCTCCTGGAAGAGATTATGTCCTTGTCACAATTCTTGTCTAGCCTCCGAAGCCTTCTTCTGAAATCTGGGTGTGAACCTCTGTGACTCTACAACTCTTGGATTTTTCATCCCTGAAAAACTGGCATCATGTGGATGATGCCAAGGCCTGCTGCTGGCTCAAACAGATGTCAGCTGCCTTTGAATCATGGCTGCAGTGACCTCTGAGTACCTGGCTCAGGAGTACATGGCTGAACTTGAGGAAGCAGTTCCCTCAGTGGCCCTCAATGAGACAGCACCCTGGGGCTGTCTTCTCAAAGCAAAGTCTTTCAAAGGAGTTTACCCATTTACACACTTAAGCCTGCAAAGGGAAGGGTCAGGCCAATTCCTGAGATGCTTTCAAGCATCTTTCCTATTGTTCTGATGCAAAGTACTTGACTTGTTTTTAATGTTAACCTTTTCAGCACCCATGCTCTATGGCACCAACTTTGCAGCCACTTCATTTCTGGTCAAACTGCAAACTTTTCACAACTTTTGGCTCTACTATTTACTCTTATTCTTACTATAAATGTGGCTAAAAGTAGTCATCAGTACTCATGCCACAGCCTGAACATTGGGCCACCCTGAAATTTCTTCCACCAAATCATTTAGTCCACCACCTTTAAATTCAGCCTCACACAAAGTCTCAGGACATGGACAAAATGCAGACAAATTCTTTTCTAGAATGTAACATGCATGGCTACTAGTCCAGTTTCCAATATTATCCTTATTCCTAATTGAAACCTCCTGAGGCTGTCCACATTCCTATCTATATTCTGGCCTTCCAAGCTCTGAACCGAGTCTCTCCTCAAGGTCTATTTACAGTATTCTAAGGCTTCTCTAGATGACATCTCCAGACTTTCAAAAATTCCTCTCATAAACCAATTCTAGAGGCCTCTAAACCATGTGGTCAGGTACAGTCACAGCAACAACCCCACTTTTGGTACCAAAATCTGTGTTAGTCAGCTTTTCCATCACTGGGAAAATATATCTGATGCCCACAACTTAAAGTAGGAGAGGTTTAATTTGGCTCATGGTATTGGGGTTTTAGTTTACAGTCAGCTGGCTCTGAAGTAGAAATGGCATGGTGGAGGGGCATGGTAGAGAAAAGCAGCTTACCTCATGGCAGCCAGGAAGCAGAAATAGAGATGAGAGGAGCCCAGAACAGTAATATACTCTTGTATTGTAGGTCATGCCCACAGTGACCCACCTCTTCCAACCAGGCCCAACTCCAAACACATGACTTTTGGGGGACATATGGGACATTTTAGATCTAAACCATAAAAAGGAGGCAACCCAGAGTTCCACCCAGTCACCACTTCCAGCTCAGAATCAGGGTTTCACAGTGTTTCATAGCTTTCTTCCTTGGGTCCAGGTGTGACTCTGCTGGTTAAGGGGTCAGAAACTAAATAAGTACCTGCCCCCCACCACCTTATACCCACCACCACAATATACAAGGTAGAGGAATAAAGTATAACAGTAATAAAATCCCACAGCAGGAAAAGGAAGGACAGAGAGCTCTCAGCAGGTGTAGGTTATACTGGCATAACAAAAAGATCCCAAAGTACAGTGATTCAAGTATGGTGGAATTCTGTTTTTCTCTTACATCACAATTCAGAGTAGACAGTTGATCCAGGGCAAATAGACAACTCTGTCATATGTCCATTCCTATGACATAAACCATATGGCCAAAGCTGTCCCACCCTTCAACCTTCACTTTCTGATCTATGGAAGACAGAAAGGAAATAATAGGCAAGCAATCTGTGACCCAGAGATTTCCCAGGTCACTTTGGACCACACCCCATTGGCAGCTTTCCTCCAGTATGTCCTTCCATCAGGCTGTTTCTGCCTTGGAGCCAGCCAACCATGATGGAGATGTTGGAGAAATGCAGACAGTAAGCATTCTTGGGAAAGGCCACTGAACAATGGCCCAAGAGTCTCCCAATACTTCAGCTCCCCCCACCCCCTGTCCTGGAATGGGGTGAGTCTTTTACAACATATGCAGTAGGAAGTGGCTTTTGTGGCCAGACCAACAGGCTCTCCTCTCTTCCCAGGGTGCAACGTAGAAAATGCCTGCTATGCACTGGGCATCTGTGCTGAACGGACTGCAATCCAGAAGGCCATCTCTGAAGGGCATAAGGACTTCAGGGCTATTGCTATCTCCAGGTAAGTGGGACAGGCACGTCACAGTGATGATATACATTGCTTCAACCAACAGCCCCCATGTACCAATCATCCATTCATTCATCAGATGCATGTATATTGTGTACTTCTTTGCATGTGTGTGTGTGTGTGTGTGTGTGTGTGTGTGTGTACTTCTCTGTATGCTGGATACAGGTATAGGACCCTGGGCTAAGTGCTGAAGATCAATAGATAAGCAGAGGGCCGGGGATTTAGCTCAGTGGTTTCGTCGCCTGCTGTGCAAGTGCAAGGACCCGAGTTCAATCCCCGGTACCAAAAAAAAAAAAAATAGATAAGCAGAAAATAGACCCTGTCCTTACTAGACTCTGAGCTCATGGAGTAGATAAACAGGGAAAATAACTCTAACACAAGGGCATGTATAGTATGTTTCTGCTACAACAACACAGAGTACAACATAATCCCCCAGAGACACAGCAGGAAAAAACCCATAGCTAGAGGGAACCAAAAGTCAGCTGGTATGGACTCCCTTGCCTCTACCCCTATTTTATAGCTGAGAAAACTGAGATCTAGAGAAGTTGAGCAGCTTTCCTAAGAGCAGAACTAGGATAGAATCCAGATACTAGAGTCTCACTCATGGCCCATTCCACTGTGCCATGCTATGCCAGGTTGCCAGATCCTCTCTCCCCCACCCACCTTGAGCTTATGTGGGGTCCAGAATGAGCTGCTCAGCCCTGTTATCTCCCTCATACGCTAATGCTCAGAACTAGGATATAAAGACAAGCCAGGTAATCACCAATTATGATTCAAACTAATCATACTCCAGCCCTACTTCTGGGTGAACAAGAACCCCAGCCAGTTCTCTTTGTGCCCCAAACATAAATATCCTAGTTCCCATTGGCTCACCCCAAGTGACCATACTGGATTCTTGATGGCACTGGACCTATACTCCGGCTTCAAGATTCAAAAGTATGAATGAACTCTTTTCCTAACTTGGACCCCCATCAATCCATCAATTTAATTGATGGATTGATTGGTTTGCAGTACTGGAGATTGAATCCAGGACCTTTGCACTGAGCTACATTCCCAGCTCTTTTTTTATTTTTTTATTTTGAGACAGGGTCTCACTGAGTCACTAAGTTGCCCAGGCTGAGCTTGAACTAGCTGTCTTCCTACTTCAATCTCCCAGAGCACTAAGAATACAAGCATGCACCACCACACAGGCTAATTTAATTTTTCAGTAGTGAATTCCTTTTCTATGCACCTATGCATTTTCTATGAGGCAGTGTTCGTGGTGAGTTAACAGTTTAAGGGGGAAAAAAAAACAGTTTGAGGGAAAATGATATAAAAATGCTTAACCCACCCTCAAAGGCTGATTAGCTATTGGTCTTTGGGGATATTTGGCCACATGGGTCACATTGTGAGTGAATTACTGCTTTACTGAGCCAGAGATTCAGCCCTTTCCTGCAGAAATGCTGAAAGTGGAATTGCAGGGGCTTAGAGCAAGGCTGGCAGGGGCCATGCAACAGACACAAGCCCATGGGGCTTTTCTAAGACCGTGAACTTGGCCGCAGTCTGTCCCAGAGGTGCTCCAGCTTATTCAAGGGTTACTTCTGAGTGACCTGTGCCAAGGGCCTGCTAAGGGAGAAAGCCCTCAGCTCCTGAGAGCCACTCTGCACCTGATCTCTGTCCTGGCTTCCCTTCAGCTTTGGAGAATAAGTGAAGCTGTGCTGGGAACATATTGTGCAGATGAGCAGAGATCAGGATATGAGTTGCACTTTATGAGAAGAGGGGAAAAATAACTCAATTTCAAAGCTGATCCAAGAAAATAATGATATTCTGGGGAGAGACCAAAGTCAACAAAAGGATAATGGCACAGTAGCCCAGCTTTGTTAGAATTTTCCAAATGACAGGCTTTTTCTCTTGGTCATTATCTACTTTTAAACATGACCAGGTACTGCTAGCAATGATTAGCTAACGTCCTTAGTGACACAAAACTCGCATTTTCCCCAACATCCAACTGCTCTGCTCTGGATATTTAGCCCGCACCTGCACCCCTGAGCCAGAAACTCAGTCATTATTGCATTAATGGTTTGTTAAATTGAGACCATGGATTTAGAGAATGAACAAGAAATGCCAGCTTCCTTGTTAATACTGGACAGGGCTGAACAGCCAGAGATTCCCTCTGAGATCGCGAAGGATGGAGACTGTACCCAGGAGAGGTGCAGGTGTCTGCAGAGCAAGGGTGGACTTGGCTTGCAGCGATGAGTCTGCTCTGCTGGGGGCCCAGATGCACTCTTCAGAGTCAACAGGTTTCCTGCCTGATAAGCATGACCTCAGCATGTGATCAAGGTCAGCACAAATCACAGAAAACCTTCAATACGCAGTGAAAGGTGGGCAGGGTGAAGGACAGGGGAGAGGGAGAAGGAGGAGGCCTGGAAGCCACATCCTGGTGCTCCTTCTGGCTCTTTAGGTTACACTTGGCAGGAGTGTTGGGTGATGGTTACAACCCCAGGCTCCAGGGTTGGTGAGGCCTGGTTTCAAATCCCAGTCTACTCTCAACCTCAGGCTTGTGCTTGAGTTTCTGAGCATGATGTTGTGTCTGTGAAATGAAAGAAAGCATAATCTAGTGATTGAGCTATTCAGGGGTCTCATGAAAGGATACCTTTAAAGTCACTGCAGGCAGAATGCTAAAGGCAGAGAACACAGATTCTGGGTTCAAATTTTGGTTCTGTCACTTACTGGCTCTGTGACCCTGGGTAATTTGCTTCATCTTTCAGTATCCAAAGCATGTAAGTGATGAGACCTGTGTGCATACTTTATTGGGCTGTGTGCATACTTTATAGGGATTAAATGAGCTAATGTATATAAGGTCCTGGCACAATGCCTGTCACACAGTAGTTCAGTGTATGCATAAGCTGTTATTCTTCTCAGAGCTGTGCTGCCTGTGTGCACCATCTTGTGATTTTTGATGGCTGAATGCCAGGCCAAATCCAACTTTCTAGTAGCATGCATGATTGCAGGTCATCTTGCCCAATGAGCTGTCCATTGGGAAGTTAAACATGGAAGCGACAGGCTGAGAAAGGAAGTAGCAGGCTGTGGAGGAACCAAATCATACAGGGCCTAACAGGTCAAAGAAGGGAGACTGAGTTTCACTCAGAGCACCTCTCCTGTAGCCAGCCTTTCTTCCAGAGCTTCTGTGCAGTCCCTGAAGGCAGGGACTCTTCATTGATGTTGTTGTTTCAGGCCCTTGGTCAACATGGGTAGGACAAAGGAAAATGTACACTCCAGCCTCCAAAGGCCTTATAAGAGGCTCTGGCTGCACCAGCTGTTACCCAGTAATTGTGAGAGTCCCACCCTCTCGTGTTGCCCTGAGCTTTTCTTCTGAAGCTGAAGGCATGCTCAGAGAGCACCCCACCTTTCCATCGAGCAGAAACATTCTTTGATAGGGCCCCCACATATAAAAGGTGAAATAGTACCTCTTTATGCTTAGTCCCCTTTGCTGCTTTGTTCTATCATAGCCTCTATGCCTGCCTATCTCTATTTGATGGTGGTTGTTTGGTTAGTTGTTCGCTTGGTGAGCAGTTGGTTGGTTGATGGTTTTCCTGGTTATCCGGCTCCTCTCACTGGTCTATAAACTCCTGAGCACAATGAATTTCCTCTGTTTTGTTCACTGCTATTCCCCCAGGACCAAGGACAGTGCCTGGCACACAATAGCTACTCAATAAATATTTGCCAGCTAAAATGAGATCATGCATATAGATTGCTCTCCAGGATACTTGGCATATTCTAGACACATATGAAATGATATAACAATTGTTGTTAAGGTATAGCAAGATTAACTGTAATACATAGAGCACATAGTATATAATAAACTGTATGTGATAAAGGACTGAAATCATGACAATGCTCATATATGTAAGGGAGTAAGTATCCAGAAAATAGTACAGACCATAACAATATGTATATAGCATTCTAAAGGTCTCAGAGCCTTTCAGACACTTTATCTCATTGTTTGCCCTCTTACATTCCAACAAAGTAGATGACATTATTACTGACTTTTATAGACAAAGAAATGAGCCTTGGATGGGTTAAAATAAGTCACACATAGTCAGCAAAGTGAAAACCCAGTCCAAAAGTCAAATTTAAATCACATGCTGTTCCACGGACTTCGCAAAGCTCTGGGTCCAGAAGGGCGAAGACGATGGAAGCTCTTGGCTTAACCTCTGGCTTTGCAGCAGGAATGGAGGCTCCTACAGGAAAACCTACCTTCTCTGGCCATCTGCCTCTGTCCCCCACAGAGCTGGAGGGTTGCCTGTGAGTTCTTGAACTTTTACATACAAGCCCTCGCTGTGAGTATCTCTCCTCCTGGATTTCTCAGATCCAAGGAGCCAAACTTTCTCTTTGGTTCACATGCAGGACCTTTGCACACATACTGTTTGTTTCCTTTTCCCTACAACACAGAAAAACCCTGGGCTTCAGAATAACATCTCTGTTACTTCACCTCACTCAATCTGTTTCCTCATCCATAAAATGACCATTCTGACACTCAGGCTGTCCTGAAAACCAAATGAATGTCAAATACCTGGTATAGTAGTTGCTTGCTAAGTGGCAATGGATGAACTTTATTTTTCTTCCAAGGACAGGGCCAATGCCACCTCCTCTATTCTCTCTGACACTGGTGGCAAGGCTTGTTCCCTCTGACTATGTGATCTTCCCACATTTTGTTTTATATGACTCATCCAGTATTCTGTGTCATCAGCCGGACTGAGCCATCTCTTGAAAACCCAGAGACAGCTCTTCCTTAACCCCAGGATGTGGGTGGCAATAAGTGCACACTGCTTATAGAATGCCCTCCCTGTGTGATGTGTAGAAAGTCACCAGGTCACCTCTCAGCGTCTGTGGACCAGGAACTGCCTGACAGGGTCTGACCTGATCTGGGACAGGGCAGAGACTCAACACCCAAATCTTAGTAAATGTCCTGGTACCTTAGGACAGACTGATCTAAGTTCAATTCTCTGCTTCCCCAGTGACTTGCAAGATGATTTTATCTCACCATGCGGGGCTTGCAGGCAAGTGATGAGAGAGGTAAGAGCTTCTCTTTCTTCCTGGAATGTAAATGGTGATAAATGTATATCCCAGGCTGCAGGAAAGATGCGCAATGGCCAGCAAGAAGACACAGTCCCTGTCTTGTTTGGTCTGCTAGCTGACTCCTAGGCTTTCCCAAGCCTGCATAAGTCACTGGAAACAATTCCTTTGTCCAGCAAATACTTATTGAGTGAAGGTCATTGGTGTCAGGCACTCACTGACTGATCCAGCTCTGGGTACAAGACAGACCAGGCCCTGCCTCACTACCTGGTGCAGGAAGCAAAATAAACAAGCAGCAGGGTTTCTGAGAGTAAAGAGAACAATAGTAGAAAAATGTATTGAGTGACAGGGAGCAGCAGAAGGTACCCTAGATCACAAGTAGGCCCACTGCTTGTTTCTGTAAATAAAGTTTTATTGGAACACAGCTATGCCCATTCATTAATGCATCAGCCAAATTACAATGGGCAAAATCATAAGCAAACGGGGCAGGACTTTATTGTACGGCAGCTGCTTGTTCCTTGAGAGTTCCTGCTTTTGGAGCTGTGTTTGGAGGAAAGCGGATTGTTTTAGCTTTGTGTTTATGCCTCAGTTTCAGGGCATCTGGAGGCTTTGACACCTCCATCTCCTTCTGCTTCGTGCCAGGACTGCAAACCAAGCAGTCTGCAGGATGCATTTCCCAGATCCAGATGAGATACGCTACCCTGAAGGCACTGGATTCGCACTACAGAATTCATCTCACTTTAGAGAGGCAGACACAGCTGCCCAGTGCAGTGGCAATGTCTAAGGTCACGTCAGGAAGCCACAACAGAGCACAGAGTCTCCAGCTCCCCAGGCCCTAACTTGGCCCAACGGCTCATTGCTGTTTTCTCCAAACAGCTGAGATCTTGGCAAATGACAGCAGGCGATGAAAAAGCTGGAGGAGGGAGAGGCAAAGGGAAAACAAAATGCAAATAATAAGAGATGAGGCTTGGGGACCACAGACTTGGCATTGAAATTCACCAGCACTCAGCTTTCGCCCATACCCTCAGGCACAGCCTACCAAGTGGAAAAATGCCCTCCCTTAAAACATCAACTCTGAAAGAGCCAGAAGATTGATGGTGTCTGGTAATAACTTTGTGATTCAGGCAAAGCACAGGAGAACAATAGGCTGCAGGCCTGAGCAGTCACTGGGATTCCACACAATCAGAGTGTGCTCGCCACTAACCAAGCACCTAGTATGTGTCAGTGTCTGCACACATATGCTTTCCACAAACCATGCCTAAAACCCACCATGCCTAGCCAGGTAGAACCTGGGCCTACGAACTCCAACTCTAGGGCTCTCAGCATTGTGCCCACTGATTTAACCCTCCACTTACCCACTGTTTAGTACCTTCTTCCATTTCTGAAGCCAGTTTACACATCAAGACGCTGAGCCCCAAATAGTTGTCATTCGCCTGAGGTCACAGCAAGCAAGTGGTGCTCCTCATATTGCAGGAGAAAGGTCAGGAGACATACTCGTCTTTGCTGATTTTACCCTGCTGAGCTTTGCTTTCTTCAACAGTAAAATAAGTATAATAACAGCACTTGTGTCCGAGGTTGGGTAAGGAAATAATGCAAGTGCAATTATCTAGTGTAATGAAGCAGGTGTGGCGCCTTCTCTTGGTGTGAGGAGTAAAAGAGAAACAAGTGGAGTCAGTATTAGTTGTCATTTGTCATAGCAGAAGGTAGTCTGGCTCTGAGGGCCAGATACCATTTTTATAAAGCTCTAGTGGGTCCTTGGTGGAGTATTTATGGCCGGTTCTCAATGTGCTGTGCACCATGCTAAGTGCTTATCAGCATTCTTTCATTTGCTCCTCTTCAAGCTCCAGATACAATTATTGTCATCCCATTTTACAGATGAGAAAACCAAGGTACAGGAAGAATCATTTGACAGTAAGTTGTAAAGCCAGACTCAAACCTAGGTCCCTCCTAACCCCTTAGCCATGCTGCCTCCCTCATGCTAGCTTTGTCTCTTTTCCAGTTTGGCACTGACTGGGCCGTGTACATGACCAAAGCAGATGGTACTTATGTGGTCAGAACAGTCCAGGAGCTGCTGCCTGTGTCCTTCGGGCCTGAGGACCTGCAGAAGATCTAGCAAAGGCTGGAGAACACCCACTGCCCAGAAGGCCTTGTGTTCCCACAGGTGTTTAAGGGACCAGCACTGGAAAACTTTGGAAAAATGCCCGCTCAGGGACACCTGCCAAACAGGCCCAACTCTCCCGGAGCTGGGCAGAGATGATTTTTCCTTGGAATCCCAAGTCTGGCCTGCTTCTCCAGCACTGCCTGGGTTCTGTCCTGTTCTGGGTGACTTTGCCGATTATAAACATCACAGAACATCCTGATTCAGAAGGATGCATTTTGCTCTTTGTCACTGTTGTTGCAGGGCAATTTATCTTTTTAGAAAGACTTGGACACTCTCTGCTGGGGGAGAAAACAGGCACCTTGGAACCATGTAACTTTCGGTGTGGAGGGTGAGTCCTTGTTATGACTTGTGTCTTGATATCCCCCAAAGCCTCATGCAGTCATATGTGGAGCTTTTTCTGAATTGATTCATGGTGCAATGCTAGGCTCAAGGGCACTAGGATTAAGGGTGTGAGTGCTACCTGCCCTAAGTAATCTGCATAAAATAAAAGGGACAGAAAGATGCTGTTAAGGTCCCTTGTTGCTTTTGCTACCTTGTGGGCACCATGTTGTTTCTTTTCTGCAATGCTTGTCCGCCATCCACCCAGCCTTGGAGCCAGACAATTATGGACTGAAACCTCTGTGAACTGTGAGCTAAATAAACCTTTTCCCCTTTAACTTTGGGTGTCAGGTATTTTGTTTCAGCAACAAGAAAAGTAGCTAACACAGTTCTTTAGCTTCCTATCCCTGTGATCCTGGATGGAAGACCCTTAGGCTGGGCCTGACTGCCAGTACCCATACATATGCTATAGTTGGATCTGGAATGTTCCCCAATGGTGACATGTTACAAGTTTGGTCCCCAGCCTGTGTTACTACTGAGAGGTGGTGAAACCCTTCCAAGGTGGGACCTGGCATGAGGTCCTTAGATCACCAGGGCTGAGCCCTTGATGGGGATTGTGGGGTTGTCTTTCTCTCCTTCCCTTTCTGGCCCTGAAGTGAGTAGGCTTTGCTGCCCTCCATGATGCCCGCCTCACCACAGGCCCAAAACAATAGGACCAACGGATCATATACCAAAACCTCCGAAACTGTGGGCCAAAATAAGCCTTTTCTGTTTGTAAGTTGATAGTCTTGGATGTGTGGTATAGTGATGGAGCATGGACTAACACACTCTTTCCAGTCTGAGTCTGGTTTGGGCTCAGTATAGACCTAAGTGCTGGCTACCATCCATCCCTGTGGCTACAGCTGCAAGTGGCTTTTGGTGTGAAGAGGGAGCCATAGGATCTACTGTGAGCCACATACCTCTGTGTGTGTTGTTTCTTATGGAAAATGCTCAGCAGTTCTGGGAGGTGAGACTTTCTCCTAATAGAGGAGAGCACCGTGACTCACAGAAGCTGAGAGCTTGTTCTAGGACTGTGTCAAAGCTCAGCACAGAATCTGGGCCCCTTGACCCCCACTGTGGCCCAGAAACATTGCAGGCTCTTTGCACACACACACTAGATTAAGGTGTTCATCGCACACGAACCCATTTTATCTGTACATCAAACCCAAAGGTAAGCATTACTGCCTTCACTCTGCCAATAAGCAAATTGAAGCTCAAAGAGATTAAATCGCTTGCCCCAAGTCACACAGCTGGTATGTAGCAGAGCTGGAATTTGAGCCAGGTCTGTCTGACGCTAAGTATTTTTTCCCCACTTTAACACAGCTGATGTCTTCAATTATGAGTTCCTTTTATATGTCAAATATGCTAAATACTGCAGAGAGAAAGATGTATAAGTGACAGTTGCTGCCCTTGAGAAACATGCAGTCAGACAGGAAGGGAGAGATGTAAACAGATCAAGTAAACAGAAACACGCTGTGCGCAGGCAGGGTAGGGGCACAGTGAGGGGCACACCGTGAGCAGAGCCAGGACTGTCCACTTCGCTGGTGTTATCACACACACACACACACACACACACACACACACACACGCACACACACCAGGGCTGAATAAAGGGAAGGAGCCGAGGCTGCCCCTCTAGAGGAGGTGACATCTCTGGTGTCCTCCCAGAAGGAGTTGATGTTTCCACTGACTTAGCAGGTAGGGTAAAAGTAGAGCTTAGGTTCTTTTTCACAAGACCAGCATTTCCTGGATGCCATAGTTTGGATCTGGAATGGCCCCAAAAGGCTCATATGTTTAAGGCTCGGTCCCCAGGGTACCTCTAATGGGAGGTGGCAGAATGACGTTAGGTTGCTGGTGGTGTGCTGTTGGAGAGGATATTGGGCCCCCAGCCCCTTTCTGTCTGTTTTGCTTCCCAGCTACCATAAGGCGAGTGCCTCCTCCTCCACATGTCCTCACGATGACGGGCTGGGCTGACACAAGCCCAGAGCCACAGGGCCAAGTGAACATGAACTGGAACCTGAGAAACTATGAACCAAAACAAACCTTTCCTCTCTTAAAGTGGATGGTCTCAGGTATTTTGTCACAGCAACAGAAAGCTGAGTAGCACATTGGAGGAAGGGAGACCTTTTATACCCAAATCAGTAGCATTGTCAGGTGTTGCTGGCCAAGAAGTTTCCCATTTCCACAACACACCCAGACTTATCTGTCACCATCACGAGAGATAGCAAAGCCTTCCCAACATTGCTGCTGGATGTAAAACCTCACTCTGTCTTTTTTTTTTCTGTACTCAGGCCCTTGCACTTGGACAGCAGGCAGTGAAACCACTGAGCTAAATTCCTGGCCCTACTCTGTCTTTTATTAGAAATGGCTTTGGGTACTTCAGTATGCTTTTCTGAATATTCTCAGCAAAGGCTGCAAAAATTTTACAAAGGAAGAAATTGGAAGAAAATACGCCTAGATATTAACATTAATTAAAATTTTGCTTGTTGGGAATAGGGGTGACTTTTTTCTCTTGTACATTTTTATGTATTTTTAAATTCCTAAAGTATTAAAAGTTAACAAAAATATGAAGAAAGAAATGGTATTGCATAATTGTTAAAGGTTTGCATTTGGTGTTGAATGGTTTCTATGCTGTGTGATTTGGGATAAGTTATTTTTATTATTCTGAGACTCAGTTTCCTCATTTGTAAAATGGGGATGGTAGTATCCATTCCATGAGATTGCTGCGAGGACTGAATGAAATGATGCAGTATTAAAGGACCAGCATTTCACGCTCAGTAAGCTCTTGATGAATGTTGGCTGTTCACCTTCACTAAGTTCTTTGAGGAAGGATTTTTGCAAACAGGCAACAGTGTTTTACAACCAACTTACTGATTCCCTTATCAATTGCTGATGGTGCTCACTGTGTACTAGGGCTGAGACCAGTTCGTGGGGACAGCAAAGGGAAAAAGGCAAATCCTTGCCTCCCAGAGCCTCAGGCAAAGCTGCCCGGGGAAGGGGATACTTCAGCCAGAGCTCAGAAGTGCTGTCTAGTTAGGGACATTCAGAAAGGGTTATCCACTTAGGGACTGGGGCTTGGGGACAGGTGAAAAAAATGATGCCTGACTACAGGACAAGGTCCAGTGTTCTTGTGATTCATGGAAACAGTTGGGGAAAAGACACTTCCCAAAGAAATTATTTGAATTATGTCATGTTGGGAGCAATGCTACATAATTCTAGGGATAAATCATTTGGTTAGCCTAGTTCTCTTGCCTACAGCCCAGCTACAGAATAACTCCAGTTTGGCCTCCGGTCACAACTGAGACTTCAGTGATCCAGTGATGCTGTGATTCTCCAGGACAAGAAACATCCTGGGAGAACAAACATCTGCTCAGTTCCTCATTGTTCTTGGACTGATTAACATCTTGTTTGCCGGAGATGTACTGAACTCTCTGCAAGCCTTCCGTTACACCTTGTTTATCCCAATGTGAACTATTGAACTCTCTGCAAGTCATCTGTTACATTTGTTTCTCCCGATGTACTGAATAAAAGGTGTGGTAAGCTGGGGGCTTTTGTCTTTGCCGCCCAGAGCAGCACTGATCAGACCGAAAGCTCAGCTTCTTCTCGGTCTCATTTTTCTACCTTTCCTGTAATTCGCCGTGTGCTGCCGTGGCTCGCAGGAGACCAGGACTAACTGCAGAGGTTCTGGTAACGTCCCCTTCCCCTGTCCCCTACAATGTCACCTAGAAGAATTACACTTATTTGGCTTTAGAGAGGTTGGGATATTTGCTGAAAACAAAAATATTGCCAGGTATGATGGCACATGCTTGTAATCCCAGCACTCTGGGAGGCTGAGGCAGGAGGATCACAAGTGACTTAGCAAGATTCTGTCTCAAAATAAAAAATAAAAAAGGGCTAGGGCACAAAGGCACTAGGTTCAATCCATAACACTAGGGGGGAAAAAGGGCATTTCACTTTGCAGCCCTGCTGTGCAGCACACAGCTGGGGGCATCTAGGTTTTCAGAGCAGCGGCTCATGCACTATTGTTCTGCGCTGTCTGAGGTTTTTTAGGCCCCTAAAGCACAGTCCCAGATTCCCATGGAAATAAATGGAAGTGTGTGTGTGGTTCCATTGCTCTGGGCAGCTGCTGCTGATGGCTTATTCAACGATTCGATCCTTTAGGGTTTCCTTTGGGCAGGGAAGAAAGCACAACTGTAGTGACAGATACTAGGGATACCTTGGTGCCTATGTCTGAAATGGATCCTGAAGATGCTGTGCAAGAGTAAAAGGGGCTGGCAGTGTAGCTCAGCACTTGCCTAGAATGTGCAGGGCCCTGGGGCAACTCCCAACACCTCTAAATCAAAAAAGGAAAAATAGAGTGGCCTTATCAGTCCGGCACAGGTGTGATATTTTGTCTATGATTATATGAGCACAGGAGCTGATGCTGAAGAAACACTCAGTCTGTTAAAATTATTAAAACCCTTTTTTGATGGTTTATGGGAAGGAAAAGTTAAGAGGAGGAAAAATTAAAAACCATGAACAGAAAAGTATGACAATGATTATATTAGTTATGTATTGTTGTGTAACAAATTATCTAAAAATTTAGCATCTTAGGACAATTTGGGTCAGGATTCTGGGCTGAGCTGGTTTTCTCACAAGGTTGTAGCAAAGGCTTGGCCAGAGCTGCTTTCTCCTCAGAAGACTCGCCTGGGTGTGGGCTGCCCTCACACAACTGTTGGCAGGATTTGGTTCCTTGTGAGCCCTTGCTGTGATGATCAGGTTCTCCATCCCCCTCGGGCTGTGTACGACACGGCAGCTGGCTTCTCTTAGAACACACAAGAGAGGGTGAGCAAGACAGAAAGCAGTCTTTCTGCAGTATCCTATCAATTTGAACACATTCCCTCCTTAGAAGCAAGTCACAAAGGTCCAGGCCACATCCCAAGGCAGAGGACCACACAAGTACAATATCAAGCCGTGGACATCCTGAAGACATAAGAAAATGAGAATGCACACAGGCAAGGGAAAAAAAAAAATAAAGTAGCTAGTGGTGGCAGGAGGGTCAGCAGAAGCAGGCATGTTATTCCTGTGAAGGAGTTTGACCTCATTCCAAAGGGCACTGTCAAGATCAGGGCAGGTGGCAGGGTCATCTAAGAGCTCCGTCTGCTAACTCAG